GGCCTGCGTCGCCCTCGGGGGCTGCCCCCCGCCCCATGCTGGGGTCTCTGGGTGCCCTGTGGGATCTGTCCTTGTGCTGAGGGGGCTGTGGGGTTCCCCCTTGGGGGCTGTCTCCCCCACGCTGTGGGCTCTGGGTGCCCTCTGGGATCTGTCCCTGTGCTGAGGGGGCTGTGGGGGTTCCCCTTGGGGGCTGTCCCCCCCACGCTGTGGGCTCTGGGTGCCCTGTGGGATCTGTCCCTCTGCAGGGGGATCTAAGGCCTCCCTTGGGGGTCTGCCCCCTTCAGCTAGGGCTCTGGGGTCCCCCTCCCCAGGGTCTGCCCCTCTGCAGGGGGATCTAGGCCCCCCCTCTTTGCGGTTAGCCCCTCCCTTCTCTGCAGGGATGAAGCCTTGTGGGGTCTGTCCCCGCCTTTGGGGTCTGTGTCCCCCTCCACTTTCCCAGATTGTTCTCTGCCAGGGGTTGGGGTCTGTTCCCCTCTGTTGAGCCCCTGGCTGGAGGGGGCTGCAGGAGAGAAGCTGTCCCCGCTCACACATGTGTTAGGTGGCATCTCGCCCTCCCTATGTACCCTCTTGAAGCAGGTGACAGGAGCTATGGGCAGGCACCTCTCCCCAGTGCGAGAGCCCCAGTATCCTTCCCTTCTCCCCACTCTCTTTCCTTAAATCACTCTCCTGCTGCGAGGTTCCCAGCCCTGCTTTGGCGGGAAGCACTGGTGTTGTGAGTAGGTTTAACATCCTCAATGACCAAAGCGGGCAACCGCCTCAGCAGCTCCCTGTCGTGAGATGTCCTCCTTGTCTCTTAATAGCCCTGCAATCTCTCCTACTCCAAGCCTACCAAGAAGTAAATGGGTCCATGCAGCCAGAAGATCATTAAGACTGGTGCATTTGTTAGGTAGAGGAGGTAGGAACGGAGTTTCTCTTAAAGGCTCTTGAAGGATGGCAAAATCCCTTCTGACGTGTAGGGCCTCACCTTGAGGGTCCGCACTGGAGCTCTACCTTCGTTATGCAGTGGTGTCTGGGGAAGGGGAAAGTGTGTCTCCCCAGATCTCCTCTCCTTTCAGGAAGGTGGCTCTGAGCCAGCCCAGGGAAGCTCCCCGCTCCTGTGCCCTGCGGGAAGGGAGAGCCCAGACTGCCCCGTTATGTCTTACACTGCCTGAGAGGAGCTGGGGAGGGAGCGTGATTTATTCTTGACATCTCTTAGGGCTTCTGCTATTCCATCTCTGTATTTCTGCCTCTCAGGAGGGAAGGGAATTTGTTTTCCCTACTGCTGGATGAAGTGGGGGAATCATGCCCGCCTTTGGATCACCTTGTTATCTTCCTGAGTCCCAAAGTATAGCTGCCCGAGCCTGCAGACGGAGACATTGAGGTATTTGGTCAGATTAGAGGTTCTGAGAAAGAGCAGTCAGACAAGCTGAAACTGGTAGGCAGCTGTGGGAGGCAGTAATAGATACCTGTGCGAAACCTCCTTTTGTAGTGTCATCTGTGACTTTTTGACAGCTTTCTCTGCTGCTTCTGAAGCTAATGGATGGTAATAGCACAGTAAGTGCTTTGTACTGGGCCAAGTAAAGGACATCTGCTCTCCCCCTCCCTTCTTGCCTAGTCACTGTTTCTTGGTTGAAGATGCCCTGGGGCTTTCCAAGTTGTTATTATAGCAGTGCACTTCTGTTGCACGGGTTATGGTTTGCTAGATGTATAGCAATACATCTCACCTATGTCTGCAGTTCACGTTTTCAATGCAATTTCTTCTGTTGCCTGAAGGATGAAAGAGGGGCCCAGAGATTCTCCTAGAAAAGCAGTGGCAAGAAAGCATGCCTCTTGTTTCAGAGGCCCTTCTGTGCCCCTCTCAGGGAGAGGACTGAGGGGCTGGGCAGCAGAGCTGGTCTCAGGCCAGAGGGGTTTTGTTGCTTGGTGGCTGCTTTGTTCTGCACAGCTGAGCTTGAGAGTTGAAACAAAAGTTGCTTAATCCTTTTGAACTGCCTTGGCTATGTTATTGAGACTTAGCACTGCCCATGGCCATCAGGGCTCCAAAGGCTTGCGTGTCAGTGCTCAAGTCTGGGTACTTATCAGTGCTTATAATAGCAAATCCTTTCGCAGAGTGAGGAATGGGAGGGGGGCTCCAGCACTGCGTTCCGTGAAGAGCTGTGTTCCTCAGAGGTCTCTTAGCATGTTGTGCTGTGAGTAACTGAGTTGCCCTGCTACTGACTGCAATTGCTCTGGTCCCTTTGTGCAGGACAACAGCCTCAGGTCCTACTGCTACTTGTTCAGCAGCAGCAAGCCCAGGAACGGGCCTCATCTGTTTAGATGCACGCTGGCTTGTCACAGCAGTTTCAGTACTGAAATGCGTCCCCGCTCAAACATCTGGTGCACCATGAAGGACATGCAAGTCATCCAGAGACAGCAAAGCTGTGCTGAATCAAAGCCAATTTCCCTTTCAGCTTCACATGTTGGACCAAGTGGGATCATGTTCCTGCCAGTTTTGATCTCTTGTTAACTTAGGCCTTTCTCCATATGGGCTTGATGCTACTGTTGTCGAAGGTGACCAGGCTTTGGGACAGCTGACAGGTTTTTGAAACACGATTCTGGGACCTCGGAAGGGCCAAGAGGCTCTGTATAGGAGCTGCCTTTGCTTCAAAGACCCTGTCTTTCCAGTGCAACTCCAGTGCTGCAGGATGTTATCTGGGCTGTCTCTTACTGTTCCAGAGGTCTCTGCAAAGCAGCAGTGTTTTAGTCCACCACCCCATGGTAACTTATGGTATTAATGCAATAGCTGGTAGCAAGTGCTGTTGGGATGGTCTGAAACAAATTTTTTTTTTTTTTTTTTAAACAGCTGCCCCTTCCTTGCAAGTCACCTGACCCTGGCCATCCCCATCATTGCAGCTGTCCTCTTCTTCTTTGTCATCAGCTGTCTGCTCCAGACAAGCTTCAGAGATCCAGGTATCCTGCCTCGAGCCACCCCAAGTGAAGCTGCAGACCTGGAAAAGCGGATCGGTGAGACTTCTATTCCCTCTCCTGTGTTTGCTTCAGTGCATGTGTGTGTTTGTGTGCATTTCAGGCTCAGTGAGTCTTGACTCTTTAACAGTCATTTCAAGGGAAAAGGGGCCAGAGCATTAGATTGGGAGGCCTGGCAGTGTTTTAGGAGCCATGGTGAGAGAGGTGTGACAAGCTCCTGTAGCACAGCAGGCTGTGCCTTAAGGGGATCTGCAGAGAAGCAGCAGTAGTTTCCCTTTCTGTTTAATCCCATCACTTTCCCAGGCAACATCCCATACAAGGGATTGGAGGCTATAACTATTTCTGCCCTCAGGACCAAGACCTGACTGGGCTGTGGCCCCATGCAGAGTTCAGATGAGGGGGAGCTGGCAGTATCAGTGCCCTAAATGTTGATACCATTAGGGTCTGTTCTCCAGCAGCTGGAAAAGCAGAGTCCCCAGTCAGAATCACTCTGTGCCATGCTTTTAAGCAGTGACAGTGTTTTCATGATCTGAGCAGTGGTTCAGATCTGGGGCTGGGATTTGTGATGATCTAAATTCCAGTCCAGGCTACAAAATTTGATTATTCCCTCCCTCCCTTGGAAGAGCCAGTTCATTGCTACTTCGACTTTTTTTTTTTCCTATATGCAGCATGGCTGTAATATAGAGATCCTGATAAGAAGGAAAGCTGATGACGATTAGCTAATTAATATTTATAAAACTACTGAAACAAGAAGCACGCCTGGAAGATAAAAAGCATTAATGCCTGGCCTTTTGCTGCTATTCCTCCATCTTCTGGAATGTGGAGGGAGAATTTTCCCTGATCAGCAGGTGACGGACAGGATCACTGAGTCTGCTTTCTGGATCAGAGAAGTCTTTCTAAAAACATGCAGAAATGAAGCCGCCTTTTTCTGTTTTAATGAGACAGTTGCAACTAAACTCCAATCCATTTTGAGTGTGGTCTACTGCTGGATGGGTAATCTTATCTTTGACTGTTCCTGCTGCCTCCCTCGCGCTGGTGTTTGGGTGGTCGCCCAGTGAGTAGGAGCAGGGAATTTGCCTGGACAAACACTGACAGAGTGTTTCTTGCTACTGTCAGCGCAGGGAAGGTGGCAGGACCAGGAAGCAGAGGAGCAGAGAGCAGGACTGACTTTATGGGAGAAATAGTGATGTAAAGGGACCGTGGATTTGTAGCCTTAAAGCACCCTGCCAGATTCCTGCTTGATGTGTCTGGAGTGGAGGGGGGAGATGACTGATGCTGGATTTTTGTGAAGGCTGATGTGAGAAGGAACTGAGCATGTAGTCTGTATGTTAACTCCAAGTGCACAGGGCTAGAGTGCCACCCCTCATGGAGACTCCTGCTGGTTTTAGTGGATTTCAGAGCTGCTTCTGGTAAACCACAACAAATCTCTACTTATGTTATGCTGCAGACAGTGAGGGTTGAGCTGGAAAGCTTAAGCCTTGTAAGGGAAAAGGCTGTATGCTGTGTTTAGACGCCATGTCCTTGCTTTTCTTTGTGTTTCATTCTGTTTGCGTGAATACAGTTATACTAGCACTAAATAGGTCTCCAGGTGAAGGCACCAAGGCTCAGCTGGGGAGAGTAGGTGTCCTGTTCCAGGGGCAGCCTGGGCCGCGTTTTTGTTTGTCTTCAGTTTTGCATAGTACTGACCGATACTGTGAAATTGTGCATGAAACAGATTTAGTCTGGAGTTTTAAGTAACCTTTTCTGTCTCTGGCTTTTATGGAATTTCATTTGGACTCCTCTTGACTTCTCTGAAAGTCTTTGAAAATCCCATCCTTCCTGAAGGACGCTCTGTGACAGGTGAATGTGGTGACAGCAAAAGACTCAACTGCCGCTGCTGTTAACCACCCACACCCTGTTTGTGCCTCTCGGAAAAGTCCGATCCTGGGGACAGACTTGCAGATTTGGTGCTGAGAAAGCTGGCTAGCTGTTCTGCTTCTCTTTTTTGCTGAAAGAAAGACTAGAGTGAGAGTGCCTATGCCCTTTTGTTACAGAGCGTTAATTACTTTGAATGTTGCCCAGACTAGGAGGGATCTTACCCTGTAAGTTTTCCTGCAAAATATTGGTAGGATAATTCATTTAGAAATGAGTATTTTTAAGGTTATGATTTGCCATTTAGCCTGCTGTGCCTCAAGGTCTCCTTTATTAATGGTTTCATTAACAGCACGCTAATATTTGTCCCTATCTAAAAACTGCTATGTCACACTGTTTTTGTGGTAGCCAAGAAAGCGTATGCATTCAGGATCTGTGGACTGCTTTGATGTTGCTCTTAGTAACACAATGCTTTAGCAAAGCTAATGTGAGACAACTTGAATCTGTCCCCACTGAAGATGGTTGCAAGACAATAATTCTGTGTCTGCCCATACAACTAGTTTTAAAATATCCTCAGAGTGGTTATCCATGTTTCTATTTAAAAGTGCCTAAAGCGGTTAGCTGGCTTCAGAAGCTGCTGGTTGTGCCAGCTGTTACTGTTAATATAATCCAGTCATTTTCCTCTTAATCTGCTCACTGTTAAATCTCTATTTTCAAAGACTTCCTCAAAGTTGTAAAGGTGTTGTTTTAAGAGTGAATTAAATAAATTATGAAATAACTCCCCAAATTGCAAACATGATACAGAGGTTTCCCAGCTCACACTCATGCTGATTGAAGAAACAGTCTTCAGTTGTCAGTCCCAAATTACTAGTCAAATGCCAGTGCAGCATACCTAAGTGCAGCTTGTAGCGTCCTTAAAAATTCTTCAGCTTCAGCCTTGAGGAGAATAGTTCCTCTTGTGCTATTAATGTACCTGTGTCAAATTTCAATGAAATCTGTCTGGAGCGCTTGAGACCTGCCTGCCGTCCTCCCCTTCTATCATGAAAATGAGTCTCTTGAGCATGGCTGTGCTGCTGGCTCCAGCTACAGGTTGGGGATGCTTTTACTGAGGTTACCCTAATGTGACGGTTTCCTGATTTCTGTAACTTTGATGCTGTGCATACAGCAGAGGAGGAACTGCACGTGCATTAACAGATTATGTGCCTCCTTTTGTTGTGAACTGTTAGACGTGTAGAGATGAGTTGGTGTTACTGGGCGCATTAACACTGCTGCTTTTATGCTCACTATTTATATATTGCTTTATGTTTTCAAAGCGTTGGGCAGATATTATTTCCTCTTGTCATCCCAGCAGCATTTTCCTTGACCAGACAGCAAAGGGAACATAAACAATGCTGTGAGGAGCTGACTGGAGCTCCTGGCTGCCCACTCTGAAACAAATCCTGTAGGCTGAACTGCCTCTCAGCTTTTGCATTAAAATCACGTGAGCAGGAGAGCACGTGCCGTCCCTTATTCTTCCAGGAAGTCGCTTGGCATGATGTGGGGGCTTTGGCTGGAGCATCTGATAGGTTGGGTTTCACCTGCACCAGTTTGACTATCCCTCCTTCCCCTTGTAGATAATATGGGTACCTCTACCTATCGCCCACCAGCCCGCACGATGGAAGTGGTCATCAACAAGTATGTGGTGAAACTAAAGTATTGCTACACCTGCAAAATGTTCCGCCCTCCACGAACCTCTCACTGCAGTGTCTGCGACAACTGCGTTGGTAAGTCCAGAGGCTGGAAGTATGCTGATATCTCTTGTGGGAGAGGGGCAGGGGGAAGTATTTCAGGTTCCTGGGCAGATTGCTTTTACTACTGTTAAAGGATTATGAAGTGAGATACTAAGTCGTCTTTCTCGTTCCCGTTTAAAATGAGAGCAACGCCAGTGCAGTGGTTTTGGGCTGGGGGACATCACCTCTCCAGTACTCTGTGCCTTCTCTTCCTGTGGCTCTAGGAGGACTGTATCGTGAGATGTGGTTAAGGCCTCCCCCAGGCGCAGGGTTGTGGAACAGTGCTGAAGGCTCCTTGTCTGTCCCCTGGCTGTAGGCAGGGCTGTAGAGGCACCAGCATAGATTCTGGTTTAGTCTTTTTGTGTCCTCCCCCTGTGCCCTCAGGTTCTGGTGGGACAAGAGGAACAGGAGAAAATAAAGATGTGAAGAAAGCCTCCAATAGCTCTGCACAGCCAGGCCCAAGGCAGGTGCAGGGGGATGAGCAGGGCAGGAAGGCAGGAAACGTGAGGGTGACATGAGGTTCCCTGCTCAGTCTGGCTGTGCAGGAGCAACTTGAACTGGCAAGAGGGTGGCATGTGATTGAGTTCAGTCCCCATGGGTAGGCTCCTGGTTGTGCGCTGCGTGCAACCGGAGGCTGTGCATTATGCTGTCTGCAGGAGCAGCTTGAGGAATGGATGGGATGACTGACCTGAGAGTGTTACCGGATCCCAAGGACTCTGATTAAGAGAAGTCTGAGAGCTGCTGAGCCCCATGTGTTTGGGGATAGTTTTGGAAATTGTGACTCCTCTTTACATTAGAATGGCTCACTGGAAAGCAGCCATGACTGGGACAGTGTTTGGAGGGGAGCCTTCTGGAGGAATGGGCATGTTTCTGCTTTGTATTGGATAAGTTTACTTGCGTTAGTCGCCCCTGCGCTACAGTTACAGCAGTCCTGTTAGTTTTAAATACAACCCTTTCATTAGAAAACAGCCAGGAGTGTTTCCAGATGTCTTGCACCTGCTCTGGGTTCCCAGGCAGATTCTGTGGTTTTAGAGGCGTATCTTCACAACGTTGAAAATTATTTTCTGCTCGGAAGAAGGTGGAGGGGGGGACTGACGCACAGAAGGGGAGCAGCGATGCTGGGTGCACACACCCACTACTGCCAGAGAGTGGAAAAACATCTCTGCACTTTCCCTGCTTTCTTTCAGTTTTAGTAATGGTAGATGCTACCAGTCGCAAGGTTTGTATTTATGTGGGGCTGGAAGAGAGGAAAGATTTGGCCTTTAGTGTTATAAAAGGGCACGCGAGCAGGCTGCAGTGCTTTGTTGAAACTTGTGCTAATGTATTACTGCTAAGAGGTTCTGATCTTAGTGTGGCAGGTGGAAGCTCAGTTTGTAGCCTCTGGATTTGCAGAGGGGCAGCA